TATAAAGAGCACCATTGCGTTTTCATCGTCTCGATTGCTAAAGCGACTCAAAAAAAAAAAGAACATGTCAACTGGACTACAGGATAGGGCAAATCGGTAACTCGATACCCAAGTCAAAGATCCTAACAGAACGGACCTGTAAGAGAATAGAACGCTCAAGTTCATTCAATGTTCAGAGTACAATACATATACAGATTGCCGATCAATCCTAGCCAATCAACTCTAACTATCCTGCATGTACTTAGCTGAAGACTAGGGACTATCAGTTACACGGTTACACGGTGGAGCAGGTCATATGCTAGCTAACAGACTCCTGATGAATAGCTCGCTTACACCCCCCTGCAGTTGGAGCAACTGGTGATCGAATACACAAACTATCTCTGAACTCGTTGAACAATGGCGTCGGCAGGCCTTTGGTCATTATGTCAGCAAACTGATACCGTGTTGGTATGTGCAGCACCTTGAATTGACCTAGAGCCACCTTCTCGCGGACGAAATGGATGTCCAGGTCGACATGTTTGGTCCTGCGATGATGAACCGGGTTCTCAGACAGATACACTGCAGATACATTGTCACAATAGATGACCGTGGCCTTGTCAAGTACGACGTGAAGCTCGCGAAGAAGATGTCGGAGCCAGCAGCACTCAGCAGCAGCATTGGCGACCGTCCGGTATTCAGCTTCAGCACTCGATCGGGAAACCGTGGTCTGTCGCTTGGACGACCACGACACGAGCGAGTCTCCAAGGAACACACAGTAGCCAGACGTCGAACGCCTGGTGTCTGGGCAACCTGCCCAATCGGCGTCGGAATATGCCTTCAAGGTTGTCGATGGAGTTGCCGAAATGGTGATGCCGGTGTTGATGGAGCCGCGCAGATAGCGCAGAATCCGCTTGACAAAATTCCAGTGAGCGTCGTGAGGAGAATGCATATGAAGGCACGCTTGATTCACGCTGTAGGCGATGTCCGGACGCGTGAGAGTGAGGTACTGGAGTGCCCCAGTGATGCTAAGGTAGAAGGTGCCATCGGTGGCAGCGTCGCCGTCCTTGGCAGACAGCTTGGGCGAGACGTCGACTGGCGTGGATGCAGGCTTACAATTCGCCATCCCAGCACGTTCCAGAATGTCTTCGGTGTACTGGGCTTGGTTGAGGTGGAAGCCAGTAGTGTCACGGCGCACCTGGATGCCAAGGAAAAAATGCATCTCACCGAGATCCTTGATCGCGAACGCTTCCCGGAGCTGATCAACAATGTGGCGCAGTAGTGTGGGCGACGAGGCAGTGAGTATGATGTCATCCACGTACACCAGGAGGTAGGCCACATCATGACCGCGCTGATAGATGAAGAGGGAGCTGTCGGAGCGCGACGCGGTGAAGCCCATGCGGAGCAGCTGACCACCAAGGCGGAGGAACCAAGCCCGCGGCGCCTGCTTGAGCCCATACAAGGACTTGACGAGCTGGCACACATGATCGGGGTGGTCCTTGTCGACGAAGCCAGCCGGCTGGTAGCAGTAGACGCGCTCGGCGAGATCGCCATGCAGGAACGCATTCTTGACGTCGAGCTGGTGTACTGCCCACCGCCGTGTCGCTGCGAGGTGAAGGACAGTCCTGATGGTTGCCGGCTTGATCACTGGGGAAAAGGTCTGATGGAAGTCGACCCCTGGGCGTTGTGAGAACCCACGCACCACCCATCGGGCTTTGCGGCGTTCAAGACTCCCATCAGGCTGCAGCTTGTTCTTGAATAGCCATTTGCCAGTGATGATGTTGGCATTGGCCGGTCGAGGCACCAGCGTCCAGGTGCCATTGCTTTGCAGTGCGTCGAACTCGGCTTGCATGGCGGCCTTCCAGTCCGGGTCACGGAGTGCGGCGCGGACGGACATCGGTGGTGCAGACAGTACCGTTGTAGTAGCCACGTGCGCGTACTTGGGATTCGGCATGCTAACCCCAACTTGCGCACGCGTGACCATCGGATGTCGAGGTGGTGGCCCAGCGTCTGTCGCCGTGGGAGGCGCTGGTGGTTCAGTGGGCGCTGACGGCGCGGACGGCGTAGTGGGCGCAGCCGATGGTTGTGGCGCATCCGGTGGCGTCATGATCGGCGAGGCCGGAGGTGCCGATCCGCGCGCCCGGTCGTTGCGGGATGTAGAGGCCGGGGCACGCGGAGGAGCCGTTAGCGCGCGTCGTCGAGCCGAACGAGGGTCGTTTGGGATCAGAACGTCGTCCGACAAGCATGGCGCACAGGGATGATCCGGCGCCGGTGTAGTCTGGCCCTGCACAAATGGAAAACTGGTCTCATCGAAGGAGACGTGACGTGAGACAATTACACGTTTGCTCTCCAAACTGTAGCATCTGTAGCCTTTTTGATCAAGGGGATAGCCAAGGAATGCACAACGCACTGAGCGCGGCGCGAGTTTGTGCGGTGTAGTGGACGCGAGGTTGGGGTAACATAAACACCCAAACACCCAGAGATGGCTGTAATCCGGTGTCGTGCCGAAGAGGAGCTCGAAGGGAGTCGCGTTGACACGGGGCCGGCAGGGACGGCGATTCAGTAGGTAGGTTGAGGCCGCAAGTGCATCTGGCCAGAAGGTAGGGGGTATGCCCGCCTAGAACAGCAGTGTGCGCACGCCGTCGTTGAGTGTGCGAAGCACGCGTTCAGCTCGTCCATTTTGCTGTGATGTGTAAGGACATGTGAGCCGAAGAGCAATGCCGTGCGTGGCGAAGAACGCGCGGGATGCTGAGTTATCAAATTCGCGGCCATTGTCTGTTTGGAAGGACATGATGGGCGTTTGAAACTGAGTTCGAACAAAAGCGTGGAAGGAGATGAGGGTGGGTAGAACATCGGATTTGTGGCGAAGTGGAAACGTCCAGGCATAGTGCGAATAATCATCCAAAATGACAAGATAGAACTTGAAACCAGAATTGCTCATAATTGGCGAGGTCCATACATCACAATGCAAAAGTTGGAAAGGAAATTGGGAAATATTATTGGACTCGCTAAACGGTAACCGGACATTTTTACTGCATCGACAAGCATCACATGTGTGGTGGCCAGACTTGGAGCAAGAAAACCCAATGGAACGAGAGAGTCGCTGGAGAGCGGCATGGCCAGGATGACCAAGACGCATATGCCAGAGACCGCTGTCGGTGGAGGCAAGATGTGCAGCTGGAGGAGGCGTCGATGTGGTGGGGAGGTGGCGGAGTGGGTAGAGCTCGCCGGAAGAATCACATCGGAGCAGTACCGTCCTGGTGCGAAGATCCTTGATTGAAAACCCCCACGGGTCAAATTCAACAGAGATGGAATTATCACGGGTTAGAGCACGAACGGAAATCAAGTTCTTAACAATCTGATGAGCGATGAGAACATTGCGCAATTGTAAGGAGGAAGAAGAAGTGGGAATGGTGGCATGCCCAGTGCATTCAGGCTGAATGTACTGTCCATTACCGACAACAATGTGACGATGAACAGTGGGTAGCGGAGGGGAACTGAGAATACCAGTGCTGGAAGCCATGTGCGACGTGGCTCTCGTGTCAAGGATCCAATCACCACTGCCGGTGTTGTTGTTGAGCGTCATGTTGTTGAGGGCGGTGTAGAGGCCGCCTGGCAGCGAACCCGGGGCGCCGGCGTAGAAGGCAGCGTCCGGCGATGGGGACGACGCCGGGAGGGGCGCCATGGCGGACGGAGGGTGAACGCCAGGCCTGGAGCCAAGAACGCTGGGCCGCCATGCGTTCACAGGCCACGCCTGGACAACGCCGTGCCACGGGTTGTGTGGCATCTCCCACGGCGGAGGTGGCGCGCTGCCCGGATGCGGTGCACCGTGATTGCCGGAGTTGTTCTGGCGAGGACGCCCGTCAGCGGCCTTCCGCTTCTTGCGCCGTTCGTTGGCGTTGTTGTGGGGGCTGGGAACGGTGGTGTGAGAGGATGCGGTGGGCGAGGTGCCGAGTTGGTCGGAGCCGCCGCAAGGAGAGCCGTCTGCGCCTCCATCTGAAGCGAGTGGCGGATGCGGTTCTCCTCCTGCAGAAGGTAGGATTTGGTGTAGAGGAAGGTGGGTGGGGGAGTCATGGTGGTGAGCACAGCAATCGCCTGGCTGAACTTGTTGTTCAGGCCGCGCAGGGTGTTGATGACGAGGGCGGTGTCCGAGACGGCGGCGCCGCAGTCGTAGAGCGTGTCAGCGAGCCGCTTGAGACGGCCGCAGTACTCCCCAATGCCCATGTCGCCCTGGTACAGGCTGTGGAACTCTTGCTGGGCGTACACCGCGCGCTGAAGGTTGTTGTCGAGGAATTGTCCGGTGATGGCGACCCAGACGGAGTAGGCGTTGGCGTTGGGGCGGTTGACGTCGTTCCAAATTTCTTTGGAGACGGTGTTGTAGAGCCAAGAAACGATGCAGGCATCGATCTGGAGCCATTCGGCGTCGTTGATCATAGCAGCGGCATCGACGGTGCCGTCGATATGATTGGCGAGGCCGAACTTCTGGAGAGTGAGCTCAATGAACGAGCGCCATTGCCGGAAGTTGCCTTCCTCGGCGGACAGCACGACGGGGACATGGTTACGAATGTTGAGCAGCACGAGGGTAGCAGCAGAAGATGGAGCGGGATCAGCAGGTCCGGCGAAGGGATTGGAGTCGGAGGAGGCAGCAGAACCGGACGGGCTTGCCATGGCTCAGAGAGGCGGAAGCAGTGGGAGGGAGGAGGGATCGTGAGATAGAGCTGATACCATGTAAGAGAATAGAATGCTCAAGTTCATGCAATGTTCAGAGTACAATACATATACAGATTGCCGATCAATCCTAGCCAATCAACTCTAACTATCCTGCATGTACTTAGCTGAAGACTAGGGACTATCAGTTACACGGTTACACGGTGGAGCAGGTCATATGCTAGCTAACAGACTCCTGATGAATAGCTCGCTTACAGGAACTAGTGTCACTGTTCACTCGGTTAAGCACCAAATCGCTTGTAAACCGTTGTCAGCTCGGCCGTATGGTACTCCATTTGCTAGCGCCAGCCGACGGCTCAAGCATCGAACAGTTCCGGCATATGTATGTTCGTTATCCCCTTGCTTTTCCCCGTGAGGCGACGCTGCTGCTTCTTGCTGCCCTTGGGCTTGGTCTTGGGTGCAGCGTCAAGGATCTGGGCTAATGCGCGCCGCTTGGTCGTGTTGGTCATTGGCTTCTCGACACTCTTCTTTAGCTCCTTCTCAATGTCCAGCATGTCCCGTGGCAGCTCTGTCTTCTGGAATAGCTCCTTCAGGTCATTGTCGACCGTGATCTTATATAGAGGGTCATTAAAGTACGCCATGTCTCCCTGGGAGTTGGCGCTTGATAGCCACCAGACATCACCTGATGCTTTCAGAGCCTGGGAAAAAAATGTCATACACCAGATTACTGAACCGAACTCTTGACACCTATGATACGACGGAGAACAAAAGGCTACTCTCAAGCTGCAAATACAGACTGCAATACATTGGTCACCAGACAACACCTCCGCATTCGCAGTGGAATAGATGACAGCCCAAATCAGAGAAAACCTCACGGTTCAAAATAAAAAGATGAGGCAACCACTACTTGTTCCAGAAAGTAATAAGCCAAAAAAGAAACAGTGGAAGTCCTAGGAAACCTACTTCTACAACATACAAGCAAAAGGTTCAGTCAATACTCACTATAATTTAAAAAGAGCATTTTCATAGGCATTGTTTGGGTGGGTGGGTGGGTCGGTGGGGGGTTATCAAGAGGTATCATGTGAATCTTAGTACCTTTCTCAGCCATTAGTACAAACTTGGTACCTCGTAAAAAGCAAGGTCATAAACTCATAATTTGGTATATCCAAAGGACTGCAAAAAGGCTCATTTAGAAGACCAAGCCTTCACACACAAGGCTAATTGGCTTCTTAATATTTGAATGGGATGAGTTCATATCAGCTCAGTCAAAAAATTGATTCGCATAATTCAGCAAGCTTTCAAAATATTGAACCAGGGCCAATGTAGTTACCTGCAAATCTTCCAATACAGATGGATAAGCATCTTTGATGTCCTCAACAGGAAGGCCAAACTCATGCTTCTTGATCAAACCAAGCAATTCATCTCTTCCTATCAAAACATGCTTTGGCTGCACAAGAGCAAAAGGCAGGTCAGTCCACAATGCAAGCAAACCATATAAAAAGATGAAAACCCTACCAAATTTTAACTCTCACTTAAATACCCTCCCTCCATCTCATAACACAACTTAAGTGGATAGTCAATTTCAAAAATGAATTAATATGAAAGCATGGCAGGTTTAGCTTGACACAAGCGCGATCAAACAAGACAATTGAAAGTTTCAGCTGGCACATTCCTTGTGTGTTTAGATCTAGAGATTGAGCAGTGAAATCGAAAGTTTTTTTTGAAAACACAGGAGAGCTGCGTTTCATTGAAATCGAAGGATTTTATGCATCAAAGTAATATCATGAAACAATTTCATTCATGAATGTGCTAATTCAATGAAACTGCTAACAAAATGACATCGAATGCATTTACCTTGTAAGAGAAACGAGTCCCATCAAATAAAACTTTGGGATTATTCCTTAAACTGTCAAATACAGCCTTGTTGCCATGAATATCAACATAGGTAGCTTCGTTTACTTGCTTTGCTGTAAATGATTGCCTTGTCTGCAAGCACAAAAGAAACTACATTAGTTCATCCACTATCGCTATAACATATATATTCCAGAAAGAAGGTTCGAAGAAAACATTATGTATTTCCTTCCTGGACTGGGAAGTTTCTAATCGTGCCAATTATCCAAAATAATGCTAGAACTGATGTTGGAGCAAGACTACTCATGTCTGATGACTCCACTAGTATATTAATTCCATTTAATTTAAAGGAATATTAATATCATGTTACAATACTGCTCAACATTCCCAGTTAATACCATAACTCTAACATCATAAGTAGCAGCTGAACCTATGTAAGAATCATCCTTTGTCCAATGCTAGATCAGTTGTGAGTATATAAAAAAAATTGGTACCATTGCAGAAACTGCATCAAGTTGGATTTCTTGGAGATTACCTTATAAAGCAGTCCAATCACTAACTTGATCTGTACTCCCACAGCAGACTTCCTTACTGAATTGATGTGCTGTAGCCTTTCTGTATCATTTGAGAATTTAATAGGATGCAGTGGTTTTACAGGAGCCAATGGGGCATTGACTGGTTGAATCCCTGGAACAAGTTTTGGCGTTGAAATCGAAGCTTGGCTTGCAAAAATGCTAGATAGAGTATTCTGGCACGTCTCTTGCTGCTGTTTAAATTTGTTCAGACGTTCATTCAGAGCCATCAGGATGGAAATAAGCAAACATTTATATAAACTATATATGGCATAAGAAAATGATTACATGGAATGTCTTCACATTTCTAAATTCATAGGACCAATGGCAATCAGAGATCTGAGCATTGTAGGATGCAGCGCCCACTATTTGAGGTGCCTAGCACTTTATGACGATGTACTGCTTCTCTTTTAGAAGTGATATAACATCAAATTAAGAATAACACTTTTTTCAATTTATAAGACCAAAAAGACAAAAATAGGAAGTCGTGTGATAACCAACTTCCAATACAGCATAGCATTAATCACTTGTATCACTCAAACTATCCTCATAAACTTAGTTGTCTATGGTATTTTCAGAACTTATGGCAACGCCTGATACAAAATATTTTTTATATAATTAAGCAGTTGTTGCAAAGAACTGAATGGATTGAGGTACCATCGATGTGATGCCATAAATAAAACATACAATATTAATTTTCTAAGATATATTTATCGTCGGATTCCAGGCGGTGGGCTGACGGACCGAGTTTGTTGTACGGCGCACAATATTGGTTGTTGAATGGGCCGACAGGGACGATAGCCTCGGTTATCGGTTGGGCCTACACAGTTCTACTCAGGCCCATTTCAACAAGGTAAAGAGAATGTGACGAGCGAGGACAAATGAATGAAGCTAGGAAGGGGAGGAAATCATGGGGTCGAGCGCTCGCCTCCTGTTTTTTATGATTTCCTATGTTAATTCGGCCCAACAATTATTTATTAGCCCAGTAGCAGATATCTTCTCCTTAGGCTAGGAGAAGATTGCAGAGAAGGAGTCCTGGACTCTCGCTGCTCACACATTCCCGACCATCATGGTCAGGCTCTCGATGCCCGATTATGTTTTTTTTTCTTTTTTTCTTTCCTTTCTTCTCTTTTCTCTTTTTTCTTTTTGTTCTTTTAATCTCCTTTTATATTATATATATATACTTTTAATTTATCTTCTTTTTTATTTACTCAAATCAAAAGAATTCTTTATTTTTATTTTTCATTTTTATTCTTCTATTTATTCAGATGTTCTTACATTTTTTGTGATATTTTCTAATAGTTAGAGTGATGATTAAAGATAAGTTTACTTGCTCGAGAAAAAAATAAACCATTAGTTCATTTTATTTTAGTGAGAATAATACCCTAATTTGGCTGAGTTACTCTTATGACAGGACTACTGTGAGTGTGAATATGTAGGTGAAGATACAAAGTCTCTTTAGTTCTAGAGACCTGTACTCGAGAACAGGCGTATGCAAGTATGTTAGCTCACATCATAAAATGTTTCTCTACTTCTATATATCTGATTTGCTTGCTCTGTACATAATTTTCTTGGTACAAATACTATGGATGGTAATGATCTTCAATTTCTTAAGTTTGTGTGGTACACATGAGATTTTCCACTTAGGTTTTCAGCACACTAGGACATCAACAAACCAAGATCGCTCACAAAATTATAGTGTAGAACTCAAGGCAATTAAGGATTCTATTAGTGGACCATTTTTGTGTCCGTGATGGTATTAATTGTCATACCCTTGCAAGTAAGAGTTCGTCGGCCCTCAGTCGGTATAAGGAGTCAGTCGCTATAGATTTGTACCAACGCCGCTGTCGACATAGGTTTATAACGACCGACCATAAGTCGCTAAAACAGCTTACACCGACATATAAGGAGACGTTAAAGATGGACTGTGGAATAATATAGATACATCAAGAAATATATTTTCATAAAACATTTATACTCTTTTCTATTGAGTTAGTTAAATTTAAGATAGTTTGACTCTAAGTGATTCTAGAAAGTAATTATTTTGAGATGGAGGTAATACAGTAAAAAGGGGACAAGTAGATAAAGAGAGAAAGCTACCATGCGAAATCCAACATCGATCACACACATTTTGATGCCAATGATGTTGTTCTGCTCTGGTTCCTCGGATCTGCTGCTTCCTCTTCAGCCGATCGGTTTTCCTTTTCGCTTCTCGGTCCGAGCCTCCTTTGGGCACATGACAGTGACAGCATGACGCGCCAGCGTTGGCACTTGGCAGCACGCCAGCACGAGGCGATCATTCGCAGGGACCTGTAAAGACGAGCATGTCTCGCCTATAATGCTGCATGTATCGGATATGATATGCATGTCGTCAGTCATCCGTCTGAAACTCTGAATGCGAAGATTCAGATCGCGTTGAGCTGAGTGCGTCTGAACTCCGAAGAAGCGAATTACTACTTCATGGCAAGCTGGCATGATGATCATCAGATCAGGCATGCTGAGAGAAGAAGCGAGTAAGCGAGCGCGGCAGCAGGCAGCAGCATCTCCCCTCGTGCTGTTCCGGAGGCAGAGGCGCGTGTGAACCTCCTCAGAACGTAGTAACACGGATAGGCTGCCGGAAGGGCGGAAAGCAGAAAAGGGAAAAGGGCGGCGAGGAAGAAAGCAAGGATCACCGAACGCCGAGGCGGGGAGGCGGGGAGGCGGGGCATGCATTGATCGAAAGAAGCTAAAGAGGCGCTGGTGGCTACTGGCGTGCCCGCTCCCTTTTTCCATTCATCTCCTCTCAGTCTCAGACGATCGATCGATGGTCGTCCGAGCTCTCTCGCTCGTGGTGCGCCCGCCATGCATGTTCGCCTGCCATGCTCCATCTCGTCTCGGGATCGCCACCGCCGCGCCCTCGGCGCCAAACCATCCGCCTCACTGCTGTACCTGCTGCTGTCCGTTCCCATGTCTGCCGCTGCCTCCGGCAACCGGCATGCATGCCCCGCTCTTTCTTTAGGCTGCAATGCAATGCATGCCTCATGCCTGCTAGTCTTTTCGCTTTCTCTGATCTCGAAACCAAACCGTGTGGCCGGCCGGGGGCCGGGGCGGTGGTCTGGTGACCCATGGAATGGAAGGAATCAGTATATCAGTATCCTCTGGCGTTGGGACCAAGCCACGGGCCACGGCAGCAAGAAGCCAGCACGCTCGTGCACCTGTTCGTGCTTGGTGAGAGCGGGACGGACGACGACAAAAACGCTGCATGGTTTCGCCAAAATTAGCGGCAGTGGTCGGATAAGGCCATGGAATCCATCCTGTCTGAAACCGTGGATCAAGATCAACTGCGAATTTTCCATGTTTGCCTCTGCTATCCAATCCACCTGACGATGATTCAGTTTTCTCGTAACAAAATGTTTTATGGTTATTACTAGTTATTACTGAAGACAGCATCTGTCAACGATGTCGAGTAATGCAGCCTTGCTGTAGTTTCAGAAAACCGGATTAAGAATCTGAAGACAGGCAGGAATGATGCCCAAAGGTGGTGGTGACCTGTGACCTCACAATCCCCTGTACTGCCTGCCTCAAAATGCCTAGGATAAGTCGTGCGATTTTTTCATTTTGTTGCAAGATTTACACAGAGGTCACATGCATGCATGCAAATGCAATGCAACCCGTTAACCACGGAGTCATGCATGTGGGTGGCACGCTCGTAACCATATATTCTCCATTCACGTTGCCTGTTTACCAAAAGCTTGTATACGGGCACATTTTACAGGTAACTAAAACTGTCCTATCCTGTCCTGTCTGGTCGATAATCTATCGTGTGTGTTCCAGGGACCATTTGATGATCCAATAGATTAATCTGATCAGAACGGCTTTTTATGCCGTGGCTTCTACTACTACTGGAGTACGTACGCAGTTTCATTCGACCGGATTGGCGCGCCGGCAGAGCAGGGGCTTCGTGTGTGAATGACGAAGCTTTGTGGATCGAAACCTTTGCAGACAAAAAGCACGCGAGCATGTAGGTGAACTTATTCTACGGGATGCAGTGCTGGTCCATCATGTTCATGTGACGCACCAAACTGATTGATCTCTCAACAAATAGGAGTACTACCTTTCGTGAAAGTCTGCACCAAACCAAGATAGGAGTAAGTACTCCTGATTTGGAAATTCGATGCTAACTTGGTTTGGCTACTGCTATAAATTCAGGCAGAATATTATCTGCCCTGTGGTTTCTCTTGGGACAATCGTGACGTGGCTGGATTTTCAGATGACTGCACACACGCAGCTAGACCAACTACATATATATCTACTGAATGTGTATATCCGAGCAGTAATCCATCGATTCATAGGAAAAAGTTGAACAGATGTACCTTGTAGCACTGCACCATCGATCCATCCTAATGAGCAAGAAAAACTGGAGCCGATTTTAGTGTCCACTAGGCCAGCAACAATCCAGTCGCAATCAGGTCGACGGATCCAGAGCAATCCGGCCGCCCACGCACTGAAACAACTTGGAGAAACGATGAATCGTCGTTGCCGTCAACTACTAGCACCTGCACGGCTGCTCTGCACTATTCAGATAGCTAGCTAGCCATCCTGTCTGTGTGGACGTGGAGGGTGAAACGCCTTTGGTATCAGGAGACAAGACCTGGGTCGATATTCAGGCCGGCGATCTCATCACCGCAGCATAATGCGCCCTTTTGGTGGGAGAAGGGAGAGACGGTCGATCGATCCATTCTCGCTACCTTTCCGCAGCAATATAATGGGCATCTTTTTCGCCGTTTCATGGACTGTCCGTGTTCGGTGTTCGCTCGTTCGCGCCAGTTGTTTTCTGATGATCTGAAACAGTGCTGTGTGGAATTTGATCTCTGCGACACCTGCGGCTGCGATGGCGCAGGATGCGAATGGAGGGCTGCGTTCGGTCGTGGTCAGTGGTAAGTTCGCATGGAAATCGATCCAAACAGGCCAAGTTCTCAGCTCTTTGGAAGAGACAACTGAGCCGGCTCTGAAGCGCACGTAAAGTTAGTGCTACGGCAAGAAATCAACGGCCCTTGTCGCCTTCGTCAGTCATACAGTACGAGAAAGTAGGGAAAGTGGACAGTGATCGATGACGCTAGGAGTTCTACTCAAAACAGTGCAGCTCTGAGCTCTCGCATGATCCTGATATAATGCTCCATTAACCAGCTGAGATACTAGCAGTAGCAGCCATGGTAAGCACCACCACCCTGCTCTACGGACCTGACCTAGA